CCCGCGCGGCGCTGCGAATGGCCGGCCGCGGCGACAGCAAGGCCAGCGGCCCCGCAGCACCGGGGAGAGGGCGCCGGCAGGCTCGCGCCGCCGGTCTGCGCCGCGGGCGGAGTCCACCCGAAGGGACGGGCAGCGCGGCGGGAAGAGGACCACCCGGACTCCCCGGGTGCAAGTGAGAGGCCAGCCGTCAGCCGGCTGGGGGCTGGGACGAGAGGAAGGCAGCGCCCCCCGCCCCGAGCGGCCCCGGGCCGAGGGCTTCGCAGGGACGCGGGGCGCACACAGCCCAGCGCGACCTTCTCGGGGTCCGCACGCGCTCGGAGAAGTCGCGCAGCCGCTGTGCGGTGCGGCCGGGGTCCGCCGCTCTCCCCGCCGGCCGGGCTCACGCACGACTGCCGGGGGCCCCGCCGCGCAAGCCACGCGGACCCCCAGCCCGGGAGCCGAGCGTGCGGGGAGAGGCACTCCGGAGGCACCGGCCGCCCCCGAGGCGCACGGCTCGGAGGACACGTGTAAGGTCACGCCGTGGAGGCCCCGTCCTGCCCTGACGGAGCGCCCGCCCGCGCGGAGACGAGACCTGCCGACGCCCCCGGGAGGCTCGTCGGCTTCCACGGACCCACCGGCACGGCAGCCCCGGCCCAGCACGTAGCCTGGGGCTCCGCACGAGGCGCCGCCCCCCGCCCCCGGCCGACCGCAGCCCTGCACCCGCCGCAAAGACCCCGGCACGCCGGGTCGGGGTGGGGGGCGGGGCACGCCCCCAGCCCCTCTCGGAGCCGCAGTCCCCAGCCCTCGGGCTGTCCCGCCGAGGAGGAAGAGGACCGCCGGGCACTCACCTGTCCTGCCGCCGCCGTGCCCGCCGACCCCTCAAGCCAACCGGGCCCTGCGCCGCAGACCGCCCGTTCCCAACCACGCGGCGCCCGCACGGACCGGGACACGCAGGACACCGACTCTCCGCCCGGACGCGGCCCCTCGACCCGGCAGCCCTACGCCCCGCACTTCCGGAGCTGCCGGAAGCTCCGGCCTCGCTTCGCGCCTAGGCCGCCGGAAGTCCCGCCACGACCTCCGCCCCGCGCCGGAAGTTCCGTTCTCAGCCTCCGTCTCCGCCGCGACGGCGGAAGTCCCTCCCCCGCCCTGTGCCCCGGCCGGAAGTCCCGTGTCGCGCTGGCGGGGCCCGAGTGCGCGGGCGGCCCGGGGCTAGGGGGTGCGGCGGCGCTCGTGGGCGCCCGAGACTGCCCGCCCTCGCCCCACGGGGCCGGCGCTTGCCCGAAGGTGAGCCCGGAAGGGCCGATCGGTGGGCTGGGAGGCGCGGGCGCTCGCACGGACCCGCCGGCGCGTCCCCCGGTACTCACTGTGGCGGGCTCGCGCGGGGGTCCTCGACCCCCCCAGGTTCGCGTCCATCGGCTCGGGTCGGGGCCGCCGCTGGCGGGCGTCCGGGCCTGCGAGTCCCCGCGGCCGCACGGTGCGGGCTGCGGCGGAGGCTGCCGGCCGCGCGGCTCCCGGTGGGGGCAGAGCTATTAATACTGGAGCGCGGCGGCGGCGGTGACTCACCCGCCCCGGAGCCTGCGCTCGCCATTGGCTAGAAGAACTCGTGTCAGCTGCTCGCCGCGGAAGGTGGGACTGGCTGATGTCCGCGCGGGCTTGGGGGGACGGGCCGGCCGAGACCTCCGAGAGCCACGGCCGCGCCGCGGACGGCTCTGCGGGCGGGGACTCGAGCTGCGGGGGCCGAGCGGCGGGACGGCTCCGGACGCGCGGGGCTCCTGCCTCCAAGACACAGCCCGCCGTTGGCTCCCAGGACCGTCGCGGCGCGGCCGTGCGGGAAACAAGCGTGGTGGAGCTGGGGACCCGGTAGCCGCGGAACGAGGGGACACGATCCCGAAGTGTTCGCGCGCGGGTGGGGCTCAGCCGGGCAGAGGCGTTCCGGAGGAGACGCGGGGCTCCAGACTCCCGGAGTCGCGGCGGGCACCGGAGCCGCCTCTCCGCTTCGGGGTTCCGGCGGGCGGGCGGTGACAGCGACAGGGGACAGATGCGCAGGAGAGTCACACGCAGTTTCAGTTATGTGAGGAAGGGAGTTCGGCAGACGTCCGAGATTCCGGAGAAAGACAGAAGAGGATCCTCGGTCACCCCGAATCCAGTAGCAGGGCCCGGGACTCCACGGGCAGGAGAGCAACTCGGGGGTGGGGCCGGCCGGCTCCTAAGCCAGCCGGAAGCCACGGGACGCAGAGGGGACTCCAGCGGAGTAGACTGGCCAGCGCCCTCCCTGTCCACCCAGGCCTTGACGGTGTCCCAATGCTTGAAAGACTTTTCCTTTTTTTTTTTTTTTTTAAGATTTTTTATTTATTTATTTGAGGGAAAGAGATGTGGCCTGTGCGTACACAGGCCTGGGGAGCCCCAGGCAGGGGGGAGGAGCTCCCGGGACCCTGGGATCATGACCTGAGCTGAAGGCGGACACTTAACTAGCTGAGCCACCCAGGCGCCACAGGCCTTTCTGATGAAATCAGTCCTAGTGTTAATAAGGTGATTGATACTGAAGAACGACATGTGTCAACATTTGCAAGATTTGCTTAATCCAGTGAACTAGTATTTTCCGAGTGACTCAGTATTGCAATATCAGGCATGAGAAAATAGGCAAAGTTTCGGTCCCAAGCAGTGAGTGTTCCTGTAGCGGCCTAAGATGTTCACTGACGCGGTTTTGATGTAGGAGACATTAAGTTTGAAGCCCACAGCCAAGAAGGAGTTCTCGGGTGGGAAAAGGTGGTTTTCTGAAAGCACAGGGTAGGACCCAGGGGCAGGAAGAGCTGCACCCGGTTCACACACCGCCCGCTGGGGAGGGGCTTACGGATGGGGGTCTCTAAGGAATATGGGAAGCAGGGTTTCCGGGACGTTGAGGGGCTCGCTCTTGCTGGGAAGTGCTACTGCTGTCCAGGGAGATCTCAGCTGTGAGACCGCAGGTGTCCATTGGTGGGCCATACGCCTTGGGGGTGGGGGGAATGGATGGCCAACATGTTTCTTGGTGGAGTCAGGGATGAAGGAAATTTCTAATTTTTATGTGTTAAAGTACTTGCAGGATCCTGGGGGTTGGGCAAAGTCTGACTTTTGCCCTTAGCAAAGTACTCACAGGGAGGCCGCTGAGTCCCTGGGGGAAGGTCACTCTGCCGGTTGGAAGGACTTGGCAGTGGACTGGTTCTTATCAAACAAAAATCAGCTGGGTCATCTGAAAAGGCTGGTAAAACAGTTACTTGCCAATTTTCCAGCATGTGTGTGGGAGGTAAGAGTTTCTTCATAGACTGGGTCCAGTACGACAGGTGACAGCGGCCTTCTCCGCGGACAGAAGCGACGTGTGCAGAACCGAAGCATCTCCTTGAGCCTCTTGTGATGTTTGCAGAGCACGTACTGGTGTTACTTGTACTTACACGCAGCGTGTCTAAGTGAATTCACAAATACCTTAACTTATTATTATTAAAAAAAATTTAATATACTTTATTAGTCTTTTGCCCAATTCATTTTTTTTTTAATTTTTATTTATTTATTTGACAAGACAGATCACAAGTAGGCAGAGAGGCAGGCAGAGACAGAGACGGGGAAGCAGGCTCCCCGCTGAGCAGAGAGCCCGATGCGGGACTCGATCCCAGGACCCTGAGATCATGACCTGAGCTGAAGGCAGAGGCTTTAACCCACTGAGCCGCCCAGGCGCCCCCACATTATTAAAAATTTTTATAAGATTTTATTTATTTGCCAGAGAGACAGCGAGAAAGGGAGCACCAGCAGGGGGAGTGGGGGAGGGGGAGCAGGCCCCCCAGCCGAGCAGGGCGCCAGATGCGGGCTGGATCCCGGGACCCCGGATCCTGAGCCGAGCCAAAGGGAGTCGCCGCCTGTCGCTGCGGCGGGCCGGGACGCGGGACGCAGCCGCGCACTCCGCTGTCGGTCGGGCCTGAGACTCGGGCGTCCGGAGAGCCCGCGCCGCGGAGCCGCGCTCCTCACGGGCGCAGGACGGCGGAGCGTGGCCCGCGTGGACGCGCTAAAACGGACACGTAAAACGGCCCGAAGCCCCCGTGTGCCCTGGAGACACCGCGCGTGCAGCCACAGTCCAGTCAACCTGTCGGAAGACACGGATGACTGTGACCTGAGAACAAATTCAGTGACTTCGGAATTTTAACAGATAAATGAAGTTTCTTAGTGAACACGTGAAAAACACGTAGTACTTAATATTTTGAGTGGGTGTGACGTGCGGGTGTGAGGTGAGGCGGACGTGGGGGCGGGGGCGGCCCGAGCGGGCGTCCGCTTGCCGGGAGAGCGGCGCGGGCGTGCGTCCGCGGCCTCCGGAGCGAGGGCACGCTTGGCGCGGCCCCAGCGGTGCTCGTCCCGCCCGCCGCGCGGAGGGCACCCGAGCTCGGACCCATCCCCCCACCCCTGCCCGGAGGCTAACTGCGCAGAGGGCCCCGCGCACACACGTCACGACCTGTCAGAACTCGAGCGCCCGAGGACCCGGAAGTGCGCGGGCACGCTGCCCGGCGCCTCCGGCGCGCGGAAGGGTGGGTATGGTCCGAGCCGCGTGCCTCCCCTCTGTCGCCGGGCTCCCTCCTTAAAAGCGCTCCGCGGGGCTCCGCGCTAACCACAGCGCGGCTCAGAGGGCACCGGGAGCCCCCGAACCTCGGCGTCGGGACCCTGCCCACGCCCTCGCGCTATCGTGACGTCCGCGCGGCCGGCGCGCGATTGGCTGGGGAGCATGTGGCGCGCTGTGGCGCGGGCGCTGACGGTTGGGCGCGCGGCCTTGAGGGGCGGCCCCCAGGCCTGGGGGAGGGGCCTGGGGGTAGATCTCGCGGAGGTCGGCCGCCAGAGGTAAGTGGTCCGGGTGGGACGTGGGTCTAGCGCGGGACGTGGGTCGCGTGCGGAGGGGCGCAGAGGCGGAGCGCCCGGGAGCGGGGACCGAGCCGGCGGGCGCTGGTGGCGGGGGAGCCTGTCTCGGGGACCCGCGGTCACGGGCGCGGCGCCGTGTCAGGACCAGGGCCGCGGGCCGGGCGGCCGGGATGCCGGAGATGGACGTGAACAAGCTGGACGCGCAGCAGGCGCAGCTGCTGTCGGAGATGTGCATCCTCGTGGACGCGGACGACCGGCGCGTCGGCGCCGACACCAAACGCAACTGCCACCTGAACGCGAACATAGACCGAGGTGCGGGGCCGGGCGGCGGGAAGGGGGCGGGAGCGGGGCAGGTGCGGGGCCGGGTCGCGGGGGCCCGCTGCGCTGTCGCACGGCGGGGTCGCGTGTGGAGGCCGGCGCCGGGGCGGGGGCTGCCCGCGGCGGAGCCAGCGCGGTGTCCCCCCGCAGGGTTGCTGCACCGCGCCTTCAGCGTGTTCCTGTTCGACGCGGACGACCGGCTCCTGCTGCAGCAGCGCTCGGACGCCAAGATCACGTTTCCCGGTGAGTGCGGACCCCGCGGGGGCGGCCGCGGGCTCGGGGCGGAAGCTCGGAGCGGGCACCGCGCTGGGGCTCCTAGAGCCGAGCCGGAGCGCGTCCGGATACGCCGTGACGACCGGCGGAGAAATTCCGGTTTTCTGATACTTACTAAGATTTTACTTATTTGGCAGCGACAGAGGGAGCAAGGGGTGGGGGGAAGCAGGGCCCCCGCCGAGCAGGGCGCCCGATGCGGGGCTCGATCCTGGACCCTGAGATCATGACCCGAGCCGGAGGCAGAGGCTTAACCCACCGAGCCCCCAGGCGCCCCTTCCTGTTAGTTTTAAAACTTGGAGTTTCTTACGGATCCGCGGAGCGACGGGGAAGGGAAGCTGACGCGTGTCCCCCGCAGGCTGCTTCACCAACTCCTGCTGCAGCCACCCGCTGAGCAACCCGCGCGAGCTGGAGGAGGCCGAGGCCATCGGCGTGCGACGCGCGGCCCAGAGGCGCCTGGAGGCTGAACTAGGGATCCCCATGGAAGCGGTAAGCGCGCGCCCGAATCCCGCTGAGCGACCCAAACGCGCGTAAGGACGCCGCAGTTAGAATTTAGACGTAAGGTACGTCTCTGCTCTGTGACCTCCTGAGGTACCGGCCCCAGGAAGCACCGCCACTAAAGAGTCCTTGAATTTCGGTCTCTTGTGAGAATGTAGCCCAGTGTGGAAGTGGATTGATCCTTAGCCAGTGTATAAAGTGGATTATTTTTGTAGTTGACCAGATGAAAGGCGGTAGCTTTTTCTGTGGAAATCCTTTCAAATCGGAACTGCAGATCTGATTACCCAATCAGACGCACGCGAATGATCTTTTTTTTCCTGCAATTGTTCCCTTTAAATGAGACCCGAGCAAATAAAGTATCTCTCATCTGGTTAAAATGGTAAATACGTTTTCCTCTTGCAAAGTACCATCGAGACGTGAGGACACGCACCTAGTTTGAGCGACTTTTTCTCTTCCAGTCTGTCCGTAAAATCAGCTCTAGTGTTCGTCCCACAGGGAGAAAAGTTTAGGCACTTGACACTATAGTAACACCTTCCCGTGTCCTGTCAGAGACGGCTGGACGCGGTTCCGCAGTCGGGGCGCGCACTGACGGGCGCCCTGCGGACTGACGGCCCTTGTGCTGAAGTCTTTGCTGCTGTTTCATGTCCTCGCAGGTGCCTCCGGAGGAAATGAACTACCTGACGCGAATCCACTACAAGGCTCAGTCAGACGGCGTCTGGGGGGAACATGAAATCGATTACATCCTGTTCATGAGGAAGAATGTGATGTTGAATCCGGACCCCAATGAGATTAAGAGCTACTGTTACGTGACCAAGGAGGAGCTAAGAGGACTTCTGAAGAAGGCGGCCTGTGGTGAAATCAAGCTGACCCCCTGGTTTCAGATTATTGCCGATGCTTTCCTCTTCAAGTGGTGGGATAACTTGAACCACTTGGATCAGTTTGTTGACCATGAGAAAATACACAGAATGTGAATGTGAAAATGAATGGTTAGCGAAATAGTGAAAAATTTCTCCACTTAGGAAACTTAATGTGGTTTTTTAGGAATTGGGTTCCCCATAAGAACTGGTCACTTGAAACCTTGATACTTTACAACCAGTATTAGTTGAAAATACAACCCACTTGTTAACTTCTTGTCACACACCCCTATATACGTGTGCATTGTTGTTCATAGGAGACACCGGTGAGAGGTCACTGTCAACACGGAGGGCAAGGTCGTGTTACCGCCGATTGCACGGTCCTGACGCAGGAACAGCAGGTGAAGCTCTTCGTTTTCAGAGTGTTGAGATGACCCGTCCGCGGGCGTGGAGAGCACCTCACTCTGGCCAAACGCTTTACGAATCACTCCATTCTTAGGACAGCCCAGAAGAACGGGCAGGGGAACCGCTCGCTTAGCTGCTTCAGAGTAGTCCAAGTTAACGTCCGCATGAGCAGCTGGAACTAGTGGAGGAGGTTCAAGGGAAATTAAATGCTGCATGCCCTGATTTCCGTCACTAAATCTTGTGGATAGTCTTCGCCAGGTAGTAAAGCGTGCGCTCTGGTGGACGGTGCACAGGCTGCTTGTCAGGTGGAAATCGAGTCAGCGGGGTGAGGATTTCTTACCTCCACGCTGCTGACATGTGGGTTGGATCATTCCCCATGAGAATTCATCCTGTGTGCTGTGGGATGTCTAGCTGCTGGGTTCTACCCACTCAAAGCCATTAACACCCCTCCCCCTGTGACAGTCACCGTGACACCCGATACCAAGTAACTTCTGGAGGGCAGAGGCACCCCCAGTCAAAAACCACTTCTACAACATCAGGCCATATCGTAGGGGGAAAAATTTCGCAGAAATATGACCGTCCGTGTTACCGATTTGGGTTATGGGATGTGTATATATTCATATTTAAATTACACCTTGACTGAGGTGCCTGGGGTCTCAGTCGTTAGGCGTCTGCCTTCGGCTCAGGTCATGACCCCAGGATCCTGGGATCGAGCTCTGTATCGTATCGGGCTCCCCACTCTGCAGGAAGCCTGCTTCTCCCTCTCCTGCTCCCCCTGCTTGTGCGCGCTCTCTCTCTCTCTCTCTCTATCGCTGTCAAATAAATAAGATCTTTAAAAACATATTGTTAAATTATACCTTGACTAATGCACTTTCCAGAAATCTTGCCATAGATTTCTCAGGTCTGAGATCTTAAGATAGCCTCATTATCCTCGAATGTTGTGTAACAAATAACAAAGAAAAGCATGAGAAATGTTCTAGCAGAGCAAATGTTTTGTAAATTCAATAGAAAAATCCCTTAACAGTTGACTTAAAACTTCAGGCAAGATTGTGTGGCAAATACTAATTTTTCTGAAAAGCAAAAACAATAAAAGAAATACCACGTTTTAATATTGTTGTCTGCTTTGTTAAGACTTTAATCCCATTATTTAACCCTTTAATAAAGTCATGGGATCCATAACCAACAGCACCAGTGGACCACGCACCCCGTCCCACCCAGTAAACCTTCAGTGAGCACTAGATGTTCCCGCTGTCGCGGTATTAGAAGGCCTGTCTGGAACACGGAAGGATGAATGTTCTTTGACCTGATGAACCCCTTAGAACAAAACCATTTTTATCTTAAAATTCATGGTCTTCAAAATCTATAACTCTGACACCTTTAGGGGCCAGAAGTAGTCTTGTATGAAACTGATTACTCCGGGGGCGCCTGGGGGGCTCCGCTGGTGAAGCGTCTTCCTGTTGTGATCCTGGAATCTGAGACAGTTCCACTCCCTGCTCAGCAGGGAGTCCGCTTCTCTCTCTGCCCCTCCCCCTTCCCTCCTACTTGAGCATTCTCTCTCAAAATTTTAAAAATAAAATTGATTATTCTGTCTCCAAGCCTATACTGGCCAGAGAACAAGAATGAAAAAACCAAGACTCTGTAGGGAGGGGGCATGTGTTACTCCCCTGCGTGGCCCCAGCCCCCAGTAGAGGGATGGGCACAGGGACAGAACTCGGAGCCATGTGAGTGGGTCCCCGGGCTGCAAGTCACGTAATTCTCAGAGGTGGTAGAGGTGGTCCTTCCATCTGCTCTCCAGAACACCTGCTTGATGGTTTCATTCCCCCCCACATGGGCGGGCCCATTCAGTGGGCATTCCTAGGGAGGGGGGACCCCACTCTTTTGTAAGTCTGGATGCCCGCCTGCATCCTCAGATCTCTCTCCATCAAATAAGTAACTAAAATCTTGAACAGTGCACGAGGGTCCCGCTTCACACCCTCGCCAGCACGTGTGGTTGCTGGTGCTGCTGATTTCCGCCCTTCCGGGGCGGTATCTCGCTGTGGTCTGGATTTGCATCTCCGACACTCGGGGATGTTGAGCCTCCTTCTGTGGATCTATCGCCGACCTGGATGTCGTCCTTGGAGAAATGTGCTTACAACTCGGCCCATTTTTCCTCAGGTTGTTGGTTTGCTATTGAGTTGTTAGCTGTCATTTCTTTGTGACACAAACTGAGTGTATTTGTCCAATGTTTCTAGGATTTTTACAATAATATGTCTTTTCTCCACTATAGAAAAGCACATAGTCGGTCAAACATGTGTTATTCAATTATCAGCAGTGTTTGTTATCCTCTGGATTTGCACAACTCTGAAAGAAGTGAATTAGGTCTCCCAGCACAGGTCTGAACCTGTTAGCAGTTTCCCACCCACGTCCGGCTCAAGGATATTTCCCACACTCACTAGGAGGTGCATGGGAGGTCAGGCTGGCATGTGTGCTTACTTCTTACTTTTGGTATTAAAGCTCTAATGCTTTTGCGTGATCTTGGAGTGTGTGACTAGTAGGGTGGCTGTTTTCAGAACCTACTGAAATTTTCTTTAGGAAAGTTCCAAGGCAGGGCATAGCACGGAACTCTTGACCTCAGGGTTGTAAGCTCAAGCCCCATGTTGGGCATGGAGTCTATTTAAGACACACATGCGCACACACGCGCACACACACACACACACCCCAAAAAATAACACAAAAGGAAAATTCCAAGGGTTTTGTTATGCTTGGATAACTGTTTACTGGGTTTTCTGTTACTGAGACCTTGACTTTTTCTCTTTGATCTGCTTATTATTTGTGGGATGATCGAACATCCAAAATGATTATGGATTTCTCTAGTTCCCCTGCCAGGACACATTCAAACCATTGTATCACCTATGTTTTAAATTTGCACTGAATTCCTGTTTAATAGAACTTTGTGGTATTTTAGCCAACTGAGTGCTTTTCATTCTTTTATCTGACACCCAGATGGCCACACTTGCTTCGTTGGGGCATCACAGGTGTGGTCTTCTTTCTCACTGACTTTCCGCCTTCATATGGGATTTTTCTCAGTTGTTTTTAAATGTGTCTCTTTTGAGCAGCATGTTCTTTTTAAAAATGCACTGAGCAGGGGCGCTGGGTGGCTCAGTGGGTTAAGCCTCTGCCTTCGGCTCAGGTCATGATTCCAGGGTCCTGGGATGGAGCCCCACATTGGGCTCTCTGCTCAGCGGGGAGCCTGCTTCTCCCTCTCTCTCTGCCTGCCTCTTTGCCTGCTTGTGATCTCTATCAAATAAACAAGTAAAATCTTAAAAAAAAAAAAAAAAAAGGAAAGAAAGAAGGAAAAGAAAAGAAAAGAAAAGTGCACTAAGGGACTCTGTTCCTCGCTGACTTTCTGTAGTATCACACATGGCCCCGGGGCGCAGTGGAAGGCCGGCTGGACTGGAGCAGTAAACACACATCATCTGGCATCAGAGTCCACACCTGTCATTTCTAGTTTAATTTTATGGTGAGCTGTGAGACAACTGTGCATTTCACCATTGTCCTTGGTGGATTAGGTCAGGCCGTGTGTGGTCTGTGTAACCAGTATTTTGGGATTGGAAGCGTTCACTGAGTGAGAGGGCCAGCAGGCAGGGTCACGTCCGCACGCCCACACAGATGTACGGCCGAGCTCTGGGAGCTGCTTGTCTCATCCCCCAGGCTGCAGAGAGGACGCGGGTGCTTCTGGGTATGTCTTGGGATCCTCACTTTGACCCCTGCCTTAGTGATCTCCCAGCCAACTCAGACAAATGCCTTCGGAAAGGGGCAGACGGGGGTGTTTCATTCAGTAATTCCCACATATTTTCTAAAATCCGCCCTGGAGTGGCTCCAGGGTGGCTCAGTCAGTGAAGCCTCTGCCTTCAGCTCAGGTCATGATCTCAGGGTCCTGGGATCAAGTCCCGCATTGGGCTCCCTGCTCAGCAGGGAGCCTGCTTCTCTCTCTGCCTGCTGCTCCCCGTCTGTGTTCTTTCTCTCTATCTCTAAGACATAAATAAATAAAATATTTTTTAAAAATCAAATAAAATCCTTTCTGGAATAAGACAAGCTTAAAATCAAAGAACACCGAACAAAAGGTGCCCCAGACAGTGGTAATAATTCCTAAAGCCTGTTTCATGATCATGCCTACCTTCCGCAGCAAGGACACTACCAGGGATGGCCAAAACCCCGAAGAACAATGAAAATCCGTGTTTCCCATTACAGCCGAGTGCCAGACTGGAACTCAGTGCCCACTCTCCACACCCACACTCAGGCAGGTGATACGGGAGCAGCTGTGCGGACAGCCGCTCCTCGAGGCTTCGGGTGAGGACGAGTCAGCCCACGCACGAGTGGAGGAACGACGCCCAGGACCCGAGGGAACAGCACCCCGCACCTCCACCCAGTGGGGAAGGGACAGCCTAGTGGTTCCCAGCAGTGGGCAGATACTCACAAGTGACCTGTGTGGGTGGAGAGTTAGCCTAGATTTAGGACTGCTTGGTCTCACCCAACTCATCCCGAACCAAGACCTGAAATGCTCGAGCTTCCCAAGCAGTTCACGGCCCCCAGCAACGGTCAAGGGGTAGGTGCACCGAATGCAACATCAAAACCCCCGTCCCGCCCTTCCCCGTCTTTGGGTGATGCCAGTCCACGAGGTAGACATAAACGTCACCGCCATCCTTGACTTCAGAAATCAGTGTGTGCTTTGGCTGACCCCGTCAGCATCCGAGAATGTGCTAGCTCGAGGGACATGCGCACAACCATGGAATGTTCTTCACCGGAAATGGCAGGTTTTCTATGCAGGTTAGCACACGCCCAAAAGAGGATGAGAGACTGAGACCCCGAGAGGGGTTCTGCCAGGAGAGCGCCAACCAGAGAGGGAGTTTCAGGGTGTGCAGGAAGTTATGCTGACATTGTGGAATGAATTAATGAGATCACATTTCTTTTTGACATCTTGGGAGAGGACAAGGGAGAGGTTGGAACAAGGAAGGGAAATCAAGCTAAGTCCAGATTTCCAGGAGAGGACAGTGTCCCCGAGTAGGCAGGCTGCCACCAGCACGGAGCCCGCTCCCAGGGCCCAGGACAGGAGCAGTCACCTGCACGGCGAGGCTCAGGGGCCTGCAGCCAGCCTGGCAGGCCAGACCCAGGGCAGACCTCGCTGCTCTGGCTTCCAGCAATGTGGGGCCCGGTGGGGGTCTGGGCTCAGGGGACGGCTGAGCCCCTCACTGAGGCTGCAGGGCCCACACCCGACGGCCAACTCCTCCCGGGATGAGGTTTTTGACAACCGCTGCCACAGTCAACGGTCCCTGCCCTGGGGCTGTCCCCCAGACCCGGTGCCTCTGCTACGTGTACTCACTATCTCCATCCCCGCGGGCCTGCTCTGCGGGTGCGGCTGCCCTTAGAGCCGGCGTTCGGCTCCGAGCGGGCTCCGGGCGCTGCCGGACGGCGCTCGCGAGCCGCCGCAGCTGGGGGCAGCCACGGGGCCTCCAGAGGTCCCCGCACCGGCCGCCACGCCCTTGATGGCCACAGCTTGGAAGCGCGCTCCGCGACGGGACGTGGGGGTCCTCCGCTGCCCTCTGCCCCTCCGGGCGCGCGGCCGCGCCGCGAAGCCGCCGTGTGGCCCGCAGCCCGGCTCTCCTCCCGCAGAAGCGTGGCCCGGCCGGCGAGGAGGGCTGCGCGGGTGGGCGGGCGGCGGCCGCGCGGACAGCCGGACGCCGCCCGGCCCTGGGGCGCCCGCGGGGCTCGGCGGGGCTCTCCGCGGCCCTCCCGGCGGCGCCGCGCGCTTTTCAGCGTCCACACCCCCGTTAGTTCCCAAATCCTTCCTTCCTTGTCATCCTTTAGAAACGGGACTAGTTCCGCAGTCCTCGGGTCGTTCACGGTCGAGGCCAGAGACGTGAGTGTCCCGTAGCCGGACTCGAGCCCGCAGACCGCGCCGGCTCCTGCTCTCGGGCGTGGGGTCCCGGGGCTCCCGGCGCACACGGCCGCGCGGCCCGCCTCCTGCCCAGGCCTCGCGTGTCGCCGCCCCGGCCGGGACACGGTGCCCTGCAGCAGCGGAGCCCCGCGGGGGGCGGCCGTGGCCGGGTCTCCGAGGACCGACGGGGACGCGGCCGCGCGCCCTCCGGAGCCGCCGTTTACTCCGCCGTGGCTCGGGCTCCGGCTTTGTGCTTCCACCGGAGCGGGTATCGCCCTCGATCAGATGGTCCCCCCGTGTCGCTGAGAGGGTCCCACGGTCCTCGCCGTCGCGGCGCTAACGGGCGCGTCACAGCTGCACGCCGGCCGCCCTGCACTCCCGGAGCCTCCCGCGCTCACGCCGGGCGACCCTCCATCCTGCCCGCTGAGCTTTGCCGGCCTTTCCTTGAGGACTTCGTGTCGATGCTCACCAGGGACCTTGGTCTCCGGTTTTCGTCTGGCCTCGGTGTCCCAGCAATGCTGGCCTCATGGGATGACTTAGGAGGCGCACCTTGTCTTTGTTTCTGGGAACAGTTTAAGGATTGATGTTTTTTAAGTGTTTGGCAGAAATTCACCAGTTAAGCCACTTGGGCTAGGGCTGTTCTTTGCTCAAAGTTTTGTTACACATTCAGTTGCCCACCATAGCCCATCTTTAAGGACACCATCCAGTACCCTTCAGTACACTCACGTGCCTGCGTACGACAGATCTTTACAACTTTTACATTTTGCAAAACTGAAACTCTGTCCCCATGAAACAATCCCTCCCTGTCCCCCAGCTTCCGCCTCTCAACTCCCCGTCTCCGGGATTTTGACGGACTAACTCGAGACCTCAGGTTGAACCACAGGGTGCGGGTCCGTTCGTCAGTGGCTTATCTTCTGTGGCAACGTCCTCACGGTCCATCCACACTCTGACACTTTTTCTTTTCTCAGTGCCTTTCTACTCATCCACCATCCCCGGACTCCTGGGTTGTGCCCTCCTAGAGGCTGTTGTAATTCTGCACCAAGAGTGAGGTGCACACATGTCTTGGAGATCCTACTTTGAATTCTTTTGGGCTTTTTATTTTTAAAAGATTTTATTTATTCGAAGGGCACCTGGGTGGCTCAGTGAGTTAAGCCTCTGCCTTCAGCTCAGGTCATGATCTCAGGGTCCTGGGATCAAGCCCGGCATCGGGCTCCCTGCTCAGTGGGGAACCTGCTTCCCCCACCCCCTGCCTGCCTCTCTGCCTACCTGTGATCTGTCAAATAAATAAAATCTTTTAAAAGACAAGATTTTATTTATTCTAGAGGGAGAGCATGAAAGGGGGAGGGTCAGAGGGAGAAACAGGCTCCCCACTGAGCAGAGACCCCCCCGACATGGGACTCGATCCTGGGACTACGGGATCATGACCTGAGGTGAAGTCAGTCGCTTAACCAACTGAGCCACCCAGGAGCCCTTCTTTTGGGTTTCTACCTAGAAGTGGGACTGCTGGCTTGTGAGATCTCTTAACTGAGGACCCTCCACACTGTTCTCCACAGTGGCTGCACCAGTCTGCATTCCCCCCAACAGCGCACGAGAGATCCCCTTTCTCCACCTCCTCGCCAACACCTGTTCTCTCGAGTGTCCATCCTGGTGGGAGTGAGCTCACGTGGGTTTCATCTTCATTCCTCTGTATTAGTGATTTTCAGCATCTTTTCACGTGCTGATTGGTTATTTGTGCATCCTCTTTGGAGAATTGCCTCTAGGAGTCCCTCATGTGTTCTGCTTATTAATTTCATAAGATCCATTGTTTGGGGCGCCTGGGTGGCTCAGTCATTAGGCGTCTTTCTTCAGCTCAGGTCATGATCTCAGGGTCCTGGGATGGAGCCCGGCATCTGGCTCTCTGTCCAGCAGGAAGTCTGTCTGCTTCTCCCTCTCCTACTCCCCCTGCTGGTGTTCCCTCTCACTGTGTCTCTGTGTCAAATAATAAAATCTAAAAAAAAAAAAAAAAGATACATTGTTTGCAAATATCTCCTCCCATTTCTTAAGGTCTCTTTCACTGATCATTTCCTTTGAAGCAGAGATTGGTTTAATATCATTGATCTACCTTTTTAATTTTGTTACTTGTACTCTCCAGCTCTGGGATTTGGGGCACCTGTTGCTCTTTTCTATTTCTTTGTTCATACATCATTTTCCTGATTCTGCGTGGCGTCCTTCAGCTCTGGGTCTTTAGGATGGTTGTCCTAAACTTTGGGCAGTCACCATCTCGTCCTCCTGAGACAGCATTTTTTCCTTTCATGGGCCACACACTTCCCTACTTTTTTGTATGCTTGTGATTTTGTTGAAAACTGGACATCTGAAATCTTATAATGTGGGGATTCTGGAAACCAGATACTCTCCCTTGTTTTAAGGGTATCACTGTGCCAGCCACGGCTAAACACTGAAGGTCCCGTAGTTCGTCTGGGAGTATGTGTCCCTCCTGGAGCATGTGTGTGGTCTCTCCAAATTCCCTTCACATGTAGTTGCTTTTCTTTCTTTTTCTTTTCTTTTCTTTTTTTTAAGATTTTATTTATTTATTTGACAGAAATCACAAGTAGGCAGAGAGGCAGGCAGAGAGAGGAGGAAGCAGGCTCCCCGCTGAGCAGAGAGCCCGATGGGGGACTCGATTCCAGGACCCTGAGATCATGACCTGAGCTGAAGGCAGAGGCTTTAACCCACTAAGCCACCCAGGCGCCCCTGCAGTTGCTTTTCAAAGTCCTAGTTCTTAAGTATCTGGCCCCCAAGAAAAGTAAAGCAGGAAAAAGCAAAGAAAAAGAAACGGGCACTGGCTCCTTCAACCCGCTGCGGCCGGTTCCGCGGACGGGGATTGCAAGAAGGGGTCCGTCTCTGTCTACAGCTGCACCAGCAGCAGCCAGCAGTCAGCGATCTAAACCTAGAATCCTAACCTTTGGGGGACAAGGTCCTCACCACCCACTCTAACCCACACAAGCAGCCACAGGAACACACACACCGCCTGCTCTGGGGCGGGGGTTGCTATGTGAACCCCAAAGCCACAAGGGCTAAAACTGACCAAAACTGATGGATTTGCCAGCCAAGCCCTTCCCTGCAAGACGCAAGCCTCCAGAGAGACCCGAGCTCCAGAACGGCTCCGCAGCTGTGATCCCCGCGGAGATGGTTCCTGTCTCCCCGGCACCACGTGCATTTCAGCTTCTCTTAAGTGAATGTTTTTCAGCACACGTACACGGAAATCCGACTTTATGCCCCCAAAACACAGCGCTCGTTAGACACGCCTGTAAGAAAACGACGACACATGACGGAAGGCTGAAGACCGCCGCACGGCACGCACGGGGTTAGCGCCACGCTGTAACTGCGGGTGCGCCGGCGGCCCTGTGGGCGCAGCTGGAAGGTCGGGAAGCGCGGCCCCGGCGCTCCGGCTCGTGCACGGCGGCTCCAGCGGCCACCCGCGCAGCCCAACGACCTCGGTCCGGGAGCCCTGCAAACGGGCGCCAGCAGGTGCTTCTGCGGAAGCGGGGGTGGGCTGTGCTTCGCTGGACCCACGCCGGCCTCCTCACGCGAGCAGCAGAGGTCACGCTTGGCTGCCGCACTGCCCAACATCTCACCCCACGAAGGAGTACTTTCTGTTTTGAAAACAAATGAGTTATTTTTTTTTCCTTTTCATTTCGCCAAACTAGAGTGACTTATAACTGAACAACAACAAAAAACTAAATCAACCGAAACCACTTCCTTTCAGAGGTTTATTCTGGAGAGGCTAGTTGCAGACAGGTAGCAAGGGTACACACATCGCAGAGAAAAGTCTAGAAAATCATCTAGCACAGGCGCTGGCTCTTAGTAGGCAGGCTGGCAGCCTTCTGCCTGTGTCCCCAAGCAGAGGTGTTCTCTTCTCAAAAAAGACCAGACGCACATGAACCAAAGTTCCCTCTTGCAGAAAGCAGTAAGATTTTTCTCCATCAAAACACACATTCACGTCAATCAATCTTTCCAGTTCGGCAGACCTGAAGCGATCAAAACTCCCTAAACACAGAACCCACCGCACCCTTAGAAGACCGGTGCTGGGGCAGCACCAACACCCGGCAGCCGCGCGCCCCGCGGGCAGCAAAGCAGCCAGAGCTCCGGGGGTCCTTGCTCTCTGCAGTCTACGGGCTGGGACCCCACCAGACCAGGCCGGGCGCCCCCCCGCCCTGCCGGAATGCTGCCACGGCAGAGGCCGCTACCGCCTGTCCTTCTTCCCAGCTTTCCGCTTTCCGGAGAGCAAGTGCTTGGGTTTCATATCGAACACGTGTCGGTCGGCTTCCCCCTTCTTCCCCAGGCGGTTCATCTTCTTCTGCACACTCTTCATCATAGTCTTGGCTTTCTTCACCATCTGCAGAGCACAAGAACACACAACACACGTTAACCCCCAAGCATCTACGCACCTGTCACGACCGGCCAGCAGTCTGTCTTCATGGCCCAGATCTCTTCTGCGAGGAGAAGCGCTGACGAGTCTGTCGCTGCACTTTGCCCCGGGACCCAGGGGCTGCAGACCTCGACCCTGTGCACGCGAGGACGGGAAGAACATTCTGTCCAGACAAGTCCGTGCCCAGCAGGAACAGGAAGATTGGGCCCATCGGCTATAGCTCCCTCTTAGACAAACAACAAAGCGGAGTCAGCCCGTGAAACCACACCGCTCCCATCTGACAAGCGGCAACCGGTCTTATGAAAATCCAGGTATCTAGGAGATGGAAATCTCCAGGCTTCCATCAAGTAAACGGTCTGCCACTTTATATATAGACTTTCTCCTGTACCCGAACTTTCGAAATGCCAAAACTAACCATTTCTGTGTTTATTTAATAAGAAAAGCTTCCGTGAAAGAGACTGTACATATCCAATGTAGTTCCCAAAAGACTGAGCACAGCCAGCCCCTGGAGGGGCTCTGGCCGCTGGTTCTAAGCACAGAGTCCTAGGACACCATGCTTCTACCACCCACGGGAGGACAGCTCTAGGGCAAGGGTCCAGAATGCTGAGCTGGCCTCTCGGGGGGCACCAGTCCCCATCTGTGGTCCCTGACCTCGGAATGACAGCTGCAGGGTGTGCCTGAGTCCATGAGTCACCAACAGAGGCCCGTTTTCTATCGCACATCACAGGGACTAACCTTGACGTCCCGAAGGCCAGAGACATCCCGTGGAGGCCGAGAGCAGCTGCGGCTGCGGGCTACGGACGGGGGTGGAACAGAGTCCTCCCGCTTCCTCTTCCTAGTAACGCTCCGGGACCTCCTGGCCTGGACTGCGTAATGGGCCTGGAAAGCACGAACAGCAAATTCAGGGCTGCGGTCACACACGCGAAATTACACTGACAAGGGGACAGGACACTCGAGAGTTCTGAAGGATGCGACTGAACAAGCTACAGCTCTTGGGACATCGTGTTAGTCACCGGCCGAATGTTCCTTCCCACTCGACCGCCGCTTTATGTTACGGACGGGAGTTTAACTCCGTCAGAAAGCATCTACTAGAAGCTGGCCATTCCACAACGTTCTCCCACACCCCAGATCGTGAGACCGATGCCCGAACTTCTATTTCAGATGTAGTGTCCTCTCCTCTCCAGCTCGGGGGTTACCACAGGAGACAGCGCCCAGAAAGCTCCGAGCTGAGGTTCAGCAGACACAGCGACTGTTCTCTGCTCGACCGGCGCACAGGCCGTCAGCTGGCACGGTCAACCTGCACGCGCACTCGCCAACAGAACGCTCAGCGTGGACACGGCCCTCGCACACCGATTAAAAGCCGAATTAGTCTAACCCTTCGGAAAAGAGCTTTAACACATTATCTTTTGATTGTTATTCTAATTTGGGAACCTGTTTTAATAAAATAATCCAGAATACAAAAAAGTTACTTCATACAAAAAAACACATATGCTCCAGAGGTGCCTGGGGGGCTCAGACAGTTAAGTGTCCAACGCTTGCTTTCAGCTCAAGTCACGATCTTGGGGCCCTGGGATCGAGCTCAGCGCTGCGCTACGTGCAGGGAGTGTGCACCTGGTTCTTCTCCCTCTGCCCCCAGCCCGATCTGCTCATACAGACTCGCTGTAAAATAAATAAAATCTTAAAAAAATATATAAGCTCCAGCATCATTCATCAAGGAAAAAAATCAGAATTCCAATGGTTATGTGACCCACGTTTTAATTGCTGGGCCCCGGGAAGAGTTCTGAACTATTTACAGCCTAAACTCCTCTCATGAGGACGGACACAGCAAACCCTCATATATCTATCTGGTCACTATGCTGAAGCCACGACATGAAGACCCAAGTCACCAATATCAAAATTCAAGTTAAAAATTAAAAAAGCAAGTTTACGTTTTGTTCTCTGACAGTCTATTCTAGCTTGTATTTTTCCCAGACACAGATTACTTCTACTATATTGTACGTTACTCACACGTCACCGTGTATTCTGAGTTGACACCCAATGAATTTTTAAAGAACAACCCATCCCAGAAGCTTAGGCTAAACCAACACTTTTTACTCGAAAATTATCCAAAAAATGCCATACCACAATGGGAAATAGGCATGATGTATAGAATACGGTTATAAATACATTTTAAAGGGAAAAAGAGAAAGTTCAAGCTCTCCCCATAAGAAGCTGAATAAAAAGGTGTAAACTGCATGTCCACTAGATCATTTCTGTGTGCTACAAACACAAGTGACTTTTTTCTTTTGTGGTTTTGGTAGTTTTCGTGTTTTTCGTTAACCTGGAATGGAAGACGATGTAGGCACAAATACGATAAAAAGCTGACAAAAAGAACAAAAAGAACAAACAAAACCAAACCCCACAAAGTGCATGCACCGGGGCCGGCCCACAGGCAGGGTCACATGAAGCGAGCACGACGTCCCTCAACTCTCGCTGCGGTCACAAGAACAGAGGCTGGAAACAGCCTCTGCACCACCCGCGAGGGCCCTGAGCCGTCCGAGGGCCGAGACAGCGGTGGGACAAGCGTGTTCAGCTCTCAGTCAGCACCTCCATGCTGAGCCTCGACACACGCGTTCCCGGCTCCCCTCTCTTCTGTAACCAGCTCCGCCAGCCCCCGGATTTCGAAGAGCTGGTGTCCTAAGGCAGAGCCGTCCGTGCCCCAGGACCATCTCCACACACTTACGTTGTCTTTGTCATCCATGTCAACACCAAGACTGCGCATCTCATTCTCCAAGACTTTCCGCTGAACCTGAACATGGGGGAAAGGAATTTAAGCAAAATTACTTTGATGATATGTTTAAAAAAAAAGACTGAAGGGAAAATGTACCTTTTACAATGACCTACATTTTTTCTAGGAAGTAAGTCTTGTAATTGAGCTCATGTTCGTATTTTTGGACAGGCATTAAAGCTGCTGAAACCACCATCTCCCAAGCAGTGGCCACGGATAAGACGACATACACATCATGTCCTTGGATTCTGCACAGCTCTGCGGGGGGGGGGTCTCTGCGTGCAGGGTCCCTGGCGCTGAGGTCACATGATGTGCCCCAAGACGCAAACTCCAGCCACAGCGTCTCCTTCCAAAGCCACCGAGCACCACAGGGGACACAGATGTCCCGTCTACCAAGAACCACTCACTTGCCATCTCATGAAAACAGTATTTCAGACACGCCGTCATCCATTAAGAGATGTCTGGAACATCACTGTTTCCCTTCCACTCCTGTCATATTTTAGCTGCCCTGCACGCCATCCTGTCTACCACACCCCGTGGTCTCAGGGTGCCACAGGACATGGCCTCACCTGCCACCCGGGCGAGCAGAGAGCAGGAGAGAAAAATCCTACAGAGACGGGACTGAGACCAGAAAGAATTCTCAGACCATTCGAACCACCTGCCTGAAGTGTGACCCCCCCATCCTAACCCGTCACAGGAGCCAAGAAACTGTCCACGGACTTAAGCCGGACTGGCTCACGCTTCTGTAAGATGAACCCTGACTCGCACGGAAAATAAGCAACAGGAACAGGGTGGCTGACAGCTTTCCTGCCACAAATCTCAAACTACCACCTCACTCTGTTCAGCTGCAAAGAAGCTGCCTCCAATAGTGCAGAGCCCAGAAGTCATGAGGAAAAGGGGTCGTCGGCAAAATTCGGCTGACTGGGGCTCAACCCAACTCCGACACCAGACCCGTCGACAGTACAATGTATGTGCAATCCCACAGCCACATCTGGGATGCAATGTCACTTAGCATCGGCTGTGCGAGAATCCGACACCCACGCGAGCTGGTCCTGGCACTCTAGAAACACAGAACTTGCCTTCTTCGCGGTCCGTGGCATCCTGGGGCCCTGTGTGTTCTTCTCCTTGGACTGCAGAATTTTCAGTTTCTTTTTTTCCCGAATTTGCCTCGCCAACTGGCGGATCTCCCCCATCTCTTCATCCTCACTATCAGACTCGCTGTCGTACTCGCCTGCCGCCGTCCTTAGTTCTTCTTCTTTTTCTAATTCTTCTAATTTCTTAAAAAGAATTGTCATTAAACACAACAGTGAAAAACTCTCAAGTGTAACAATATTCCTACAGGAGCTCAGTTTCCCTCGGCCTTTTGGGGGCGATGAGTGCCTGCACCCAGTCCCGCGCAGGGACGCCCTGGAGCTCACGCCCCGCAGTGAGCCCACAAACCCTGTGAGCTGTCCGGTGCCATTCCTCTCTTTGCTGACGATTACTGCAGACATCAAGGTGAAATATGCAACCATTATCCCCCTCACTCCCCAGTACACCCCTCTACCGCACGTGTGTGTACACACACACACACACACACGTGAACACCTGCTGTAAAACTAGAAACTTATCAATGTGAGCTGATATGTGACTAGAACATCCCCTTTATCCATTCTAAGGCCGTCCTCAAACACAAACGCCACCACTGGCTACACAGTTACTAAGAAACCGGTCACGGGAACGCCCGGCTGGCTCAGCCCGTGGAGCGTGCAAATCCTGATCTCGGGATCCTGAGTTCAGGCCCAGTGCTGGGGGTGGAGATTAAAGGAGCCCATGACCGGGTTCCTGGGGCTGGGAGTGTGGGCCTCAGTGTGCAAATGAAGGAGCCTGCCCCACAGAGGACAAAGGCTTTAAGAAAGATTCTGTCTTCTGAAGAGAAAGAACCTGCGAAGAGACAGCAGCAGGAGGGAGCCACCGCCAAGGAGCAGGGCTCCAGGAGGCAAGAGCGGGTCCAGCAGGAGGGCGGGGAGCTCGCAGACCATGGAGTGCACCTGCCCCACAAAAGAGGTCACGGCTCAGACCAGAGGAGCAGAGCCCTGGGGTCTCCAGGACCCTCGGCAGGAGAGGCCACTGGTGGTGGGGTGGGGAGGCTCATGGTGTAGAAGGAACACGAGCGACAAGTCCAGGCAGGCCAACGGCCATGCTGATACCTTGGTCCCGTAAGGAGTAAAATCACAGTTCAGTGAGTGACACAGACCTGCATGATGTCAGGATCAATATAATCTGCTACATTGTGGCCTTCCCAGATCTCTGGTATCTTGTCGTATTTCTCGGAGGAATTCATCAGATCCCAGTACTCTGAAGTAGAAAAGAAAGGACGTGTTTACTACAGTTTTTAATACCTTCAACCACGATGTGCCCAAAGTGACTTCTCACACCCGTTTCACCAGGCAGACAACAGAGCACTTGTACCCCACCCCTAACAAAGGAACACACGCCAGGGTCGGCCAGCGAGCGCTGCAGGACCGCAGGCCCAGAAGGGGAGGCGAAGGCAGTGGTGGCAGACCGGCAGCGGCAGCGGCGCACGCCAGCACCTGTGCACCACGCGAGCTAAACACCGCCCTCCCGAAGCCACCAAAACTGCCTGTAAGAAGCCTCAGGGCCCAATCACTTCTCGAAGACAGAGATTAAGGTGCAGCTGCAGGACGTGCGGGCACAGAAGCCCTTCCGCTGCTTCCCGACCTGGACGTCAGCCCTTACTCTGAAGGTCCAAAATGTAATCGTCTCCCAGTTCCACCTCGAGGTCCCGTTCCTGCAACAAAAGGGCAGAGCACTCCCGTCAGCTCTCGCTGGCCTTCCCGGTGCACAACTGTGGAGCCCCCCTCACCCCTGGGAGACGACCTCTTCTCCAGCCTGCCAGCCCACACCTTTAACACCTGTGAGGCCCAGCTCCCATGTCCCGGGGACCCCACCACTCACATCTGTGCTCATGGAGCCTGACAGCACGGGCCCAGGTGCGCTTAGTGTCACGCTCTGTGCCCGCCCCATGCACAAACGGCCTTCTGCACCCCTGAAGCAGACCTACCCGCTTCCTCCTGGGCTCCCCGATGTCCATTCTCTTCCTGCGTGCCACCACTCCCTCGGGGATGAAAGGGGGCCTCTCCTGAGGGGACATCACCAGAAAGAGTTATGGAAATACGTTGCCGAATGCAAAAGGAACATGAGAGAAAAAACAGAGGCATGCACCTCCCTGCAAAGTCAGACCAACTCCAATCCAAAAGACCACTGAGCAGAACCGCAGGGCCAACTGGGCAAGGAAACAGGAAGACTCCATACCTGATCCAAAGTTTATCTATTTAAAAAAGATTTTAAGGGGATGCCTGGGTGGCTCAGCAGGCTAAGCCTCTGCATTCAGCTCAGGTCATGATCTCAGGGTCCGGGATAGAGTCCCGCATCGGGCTCTCCGCTCAGCAGGGAGCCTGTTCCCCACCCCCATTCTCTGCCTGCCTCTCTGCAAACTTGTGATCTCTCTCTCTGTTAAACAAAGAAATAAAAATCTTTAAAAATAAATAAATAAATAAGATTTTAGGGGTGACTGGGTGGCTCAGTGGGTTAAAGCCTCTCTCTGCCTTTGGCTCAGGTCATGATCTCAGGGTCCTGGGATCGATTCCCGCATCGGGCTCTCTGCTCAGCAGGGACCTTCTTCCCCCAACACCCTCTGCCTGCCTCTCTGCCTACTTGTGACCTCTGTCAAATAAATAAAATCTTCTTAAAAAATTTTTAAAATAAACAAAAAAGATTTTATTTACTAATATAACAAAGAGAGACAGCACAACCAGGTGAGTGGCAGGCAGAGGAAGAAGCAGGATTTCCACTGAGCAGGGAGCCCAATGCTGTACTTGAGCCCAGAACCCTGGGATCATGACCTGAGCCGAAGGCAGACACTTAATGACTGAGCCACACTGAGCCATCACAAATGGTAGGTCCTTCTGTGCAGGACACAAAACCCAGTAGCCGCTAAAAAACAAAAACAAAAACAAAAACACCTCAATATTAGCTATATTAGCATAATATATTATGAAAATATATTAGCACATATTTTAAAAATTAAATATTAAATATTAGATTAAAAATGTATAACCAGGGGCGCCTGGGTGGCTCAGTGGGTTAAGCCTCTGCCTTTGGCTCAGGTCATGATCCCAGGGTCCTGGGACTGATCCCCGCATCGGGCGCTCTGCTCAGCAGGGAGCCTGTTTCTTTTCCCCTCTCTCTGCCTGCCTCTGTGCCGACTTGTGATCTATCTAATAAATAAATAAAATCTTAAAAAAAAAAGTGCAACCCGAGGCTGAAAAAAGAAACCCAATTCAAAATGCAAATGACCAAAGCACAACAACAAAAACCTATAGAATGTGAGAGTCTGATTTCCTTTACGTGAAAATCATAAATTAAATGAGTAACCGATAAATGACCTGAAGAACCAACAGGCCAATAAGCTCACGAAAAAAGTCTTGCCTGACAGGGCGCAGCACCTGACTCTCGGTTTTAGGACTGCGAGTTCAAGGCCCACGTTGGGGGTAGAGATTACGTAAAAATAGAACCTTTAAGAAAAAAAAAAAGCTCGCCTCCCTAATCATCAAGGAAATCCCAGGAACGGGAACACCTTTAATGGATGAGACTGACACCAGCAAGCACAGCGTTACAAGATCCAGGCGATGCACAGCGCAGCCCAGGAAGGCATTTCTGGAGGGCACGGTCTGACCTCCTCCACTCCCTACCGTAAAATTCACTCTATGAATACATCCGCAATTAAAACAGAGTTACGGATAAAGACGTGCTACGGAGCCCAGCAATAGCAAGAAAACCAACAATAAAAATTTTCTTAAAGACTGATTTAGAGAGCGAGCACGGGTAGGAGGGACGGAGAGAGAATCTCAGACTCCTGCTGAGTGCGCCCCCCCCCCCCAACAGCAACACGGGGCTTGATCCCACAACCCTGAGGACTGCGCCCTGGGCTGAACCCGTCTGACGCTTCACCGACGCTGCCATCCGTGCCCAGAAAACCAACAATGTTAAGGAACGTGGCACACCTCTAGGATTTTCACAAGCGTGCTTACACACCGGAGAGAACGGAAGGACGAACGAGACATTACCACCACGTCACGGCACATGACGGCACTGTCACTCTGCGTGAGTGTGCGGTGCCCGAGAGCCCCGCGTTCGGCGGGTGCTGGCTCGCAGGCTCTCGGGAAGGCTGACCTCACCTTGTCGTCTCTCTTGTTCGGCACGGCCAGGTGCAGCCTGTTCAGCACCTCGTTCACTTTATTTCCTTTCATTTTGGTTTCAACTCGATGAGCCAGGAGCCTGTCACAAGCCTGAGGTGAGGAAACAGGACCAGGCTTGCAAGGCATCCCGCCTTCAGGGCTGGACGCGGGGGTGCGGGACAGGAACCAGCTCCCCCTCCCACCCCCGGCTCATCAGCAGACCATGTTCCAAAGCTTTAGACCCCACCATGTGCTTTTCCTCGGGAGTCACAGCAGCTAGTGCTGTCCTGGGGACCACCCCAAAGTCCACGGAAACCCCTGGGGCAGACCACGCGCTCAGGAGGAAGCAGGCCACCAGCCCAGGCTGGGGCAGCATCCCGAGGCAACATTCCACGGTCCTTCCAGGCCTGCCTCAGGCCACCAGCGACTTGTGCTGTGCCTCGAGCCAGGTTCACGCCCCACGCCCCGGGGACTGTGACTAGAGCACCAGAGCCAAGTCAACCACAGCATCAGACCGGCCTAAGTGATCAGACTTGCATCTGAAACCCAAGAGGAAACGTCTCTCTCTGTGCTCCTCTTGCTCATTCGACGTCCGCCCAAGTTCCGTGACAGTACGGCTCCTGCAGCCCTCCTGCCAGGTCCGGAAGGACAGCGGGCAGTGGAAGGAGTGAAGCCACCCATGTGGGACTCAGAGGGTCCCCTCAAGCCCCGCGTTCAACTGGACGGGCGGGGACCAGGCTCAGTGCTGTGCACAGGCTCTCCCACTGGCCACCTCGAGGGCTCCCCGCCCACGATGCCTGCAGACAGCGCGTCCTTCCCCAAAACGGACTCCTCTGATGACAAAGGCCCTAAAGGGAAGCACGAAGCACTGACCTCCGTTTTCACTTGCATGACCCCCTCCTCCGTCAGGGTGCTTGTCTCAACCACGGGAAATCCTGCAGCCTGCAAATCTGCAAATATTTTCTGGGAAGACAAAAGAAAAAACGAGAGAGCCATTATCTATTTCCACTTCCCCATGAATAATTCTGTTCTTCACACGGGTATCATATATGCTAGCTGGCACATCCACGGTTCGTTTCTAAACTCATCTAAAGGACATTTCCCCAAATGCTGATCTTTCCCTATATTATTCTGTGATTAAGGAAATACCCATTACCAGGAAGATCAAACCAGACTAGAAAGTAGACCAAATGCTCCCTGGAGCATTTTTTTCTACGATATCATCTTCTAACAAGGATCCTGGCAACATCAAGCTACAGAATATTTTTTTTTTATAAAAATATTTTATTTATTTATTTGAAGACAGAGATCACAAGTAGGCAGAGAGGCAGGCAGAGAGAGAGGAGGAAGCAGGCTCCCCGCTGAGCAGAGAGCCCGATGTGGGGCTCGATCCCAGGACCCTGAGATCATGACCTGAGACAGAGGCAGAGGCTTTAACCCACTGAGCCACCCAGGCGCCCCTACAGAATTTCTTTTAGAATGTCTTCAATGCGATTTCTCAATTAAACATTTGGTCTCTACAACCTAAGAGAATTCCTTAAAACAGCACAGAAACGTAGCAATCGCTCAGATCTGGAATAAGGGGCTTCGTTTGTGCGCCTGTTCACCAGCACACCCTCGTCCAGACGTAGGTCAACCCTATTACGGGAAAACCGGTCACAAACAAGGCCACCACCCTCACTACGGGGTCTGACTTAGCAGGAGACTCCCTCCTCCCCTGCAAAGAGCAATGGTCTTGGGGACACTGGGGTCTGACTAGCCTGTGGCCCAGATACCCCTCCTCTACCTGAATTCACAGTGACCGTGTTTATCGCACGTAAGACCAGCGACAAGCCAGAGCAACAGGCAGGCTGCACCCTCGGCTTAACCCAACAGCACCGTTGCGATGGCATCCCCTGCCCACGTGCTTTCCCGTCTGCCTGATGACATTGCCGACAAGCCACCCAGGAATGCGGCTCTTAGTACCAGGGACTCCAGAATGGAAACCAACCCCATCACAGCAGGCGGACCACGAAACTGGGGCCTGGGCACACCTGACCTCAAAGCCGGAGCACCTTGCCTGACACTCACCCTAACATCTGAGCCTCACAACTTTACCCTCGTCTCCACCCACCGTGCAGGCACCTAAAAACTGGAGCTCACTTATCAGGGACTGGGTCCTCTCCAACCAGGCCACGCGTACCTGGCCAGTAACTGACTGAACACGGTGCAGTGCCCGAGACACCAGCACGGCTGTTGAAAAACCCTCTCTTACCGAGCACTCGGTGTCCCAGTAGTACAAGACAGGGGCACTGGGAAGGGACAGTGCACCACCTCCTGGAGACCCTCTCCGTTGAGCTGGTCAGTGACACGTGCTCCAGGAGATGGGGCCACAGTGTGGCTATCTAGTGCACTGCTCTCCAAGCTCCAGGGTGACCCACCCCAGGGACGCTTCCCAGGCTTCCACCCTGCAGGCCAGGGTGTGCCCCAGAGTCCGAGAACCTCAGTACCAGTGCAAAGCTTCTCCGGGGCTGCAGCACGAGCTGTGTGGACAGCGAGGCCTAACCACCTTACCTGCCTCCAGAAAGTACAGCAAACACTCCTGACTCACTGTTCTGGCAAGTTCACAGATGCTCCTCCTTCACTCAGTCCCCAAGCTCGTTTCCCCACAGGACTGCACAGCAGACACGTGATACCCACAGAACCCTCCCACCTACACCCCTACTCTGCAGGTGCCACTCAGTGCACCGGGCCGCCCGAGGCCGGAAGAGGCAAGGCCTACCTCAAGGCGCTTTGTGTGCTCTCTGGCACCAAGGTAAGACCTTCCATAGGTTAAATGTACCAACCTGCTGAACGCACGGGCATTTCCACGGCCTCGAAGGCAGAGCAGAGGTCAGGAAAGGCCAGGTCTAGTCTGCCACCAATAACCCGCCAAGGCTGCCAGCTCAGCTGTAAACTAAAAACCCGGGCTAATATTGTTAAAATTCCTTCTAAACTTTGCTGGCCTGAAATGAGGTTTGGAATTAGTAAGTAAGAAATACTCAAAATATTAAGGTGACTTGCCTGATCGTCTTCAGAAAGCTCCGCGATCCTCTTCACGTCGCATTTGTTCGCTACGACTATCAGAGGCTGGAACAGGGAAGGCAGATACTGAAATTACCGTCCTCGCAGAGCACGTTATACACCGAAAGCCCTGGCTGCCACCCGTACCTTGTTGACAAACAGAGGCCGGATGTTCTGGAAGAGCTCCAGCTGCTCCTTCAGCCCGTGCCCGCACTGCTCAGACAGGTCCATCACATACAGCACGGCAGCGCGCAGGTGAGCCAGCGCCGTGATGGCCTGCATCTCAATGGTGTTCCGATCCTCCAAAGGGTGGTCCAGGATCCCCGGTGTATCCACCACCTAACGGTCAGATGTGTCATCCCAGAGCACACACACCCACAGACCTCCCATCTAGCACACCTGGAAGGGACGCAACCCCAAACCAGCCCCCACAGAGCCAGTACATAAGACAGGTCCCCCACTGACCATAATCAAATAAGCTTTAAATGTGAAGAGAAAGGGGGAATGGCTGGACCCCACAGAGGTCACTAAAGAACTAGTCAAAGACCTGGAGAAAAGGACTCCTCTTTTTTTTTCTTTTTAACATATGCCAAACTATGCCAAACACAGGGACTGAGCTCCTGAGCCGGACGTCGCGAGCCACGCGCTCTCCCGACTGAGCCAGCCAGGGGCCCCGACCGAGCAGAACAGAAGAGCAACAGGCAAACACGCCCCTGCGTTAGGAACGGCTTCACCATTTATGGAATGAAATTCTACTGCTCCAAGCTTTTAAACGGCTAATAAGTGTCCTTCATATTAACAGGGTCAGAGACGACGAGGAGGCCGTTAACACAAGCGGACGTCCGCACAGGCCGCCGGCTGCTTCCCTGAGCCGCCCTCAGGCAGCCGGGAAGCTCACGGAGTCTTCTCCGCAGAGGCGCTCCTGGTGGCCCCGAGAATCTCTCCTGCCTCCTCAGAGTCCTCCCCCCAGCGCACTGGAATTAGGGAGACACTCAGTTCCTCAGGGATCCCCGAAGTCGACCCCCGCGAACAGCCACCCGGACGCGAGCTCCGTGTCTGGAGGTGAGGGCACTCACCTGCCAGCGCAGATACTTATAATCCATGTGCCCCACAAACAGAGACTTGGTCGTAAACGCGTAGGGCTGGACATCCACATCGGCTCTTGTCACCTAAAACACAATAACCACCTTCCCCAGTCACACAAGTTCCACACCTCATTTCCCCTTGAGAAGGTCAACGTCGCACCTACGGGTTACTGAGACAAAGGATTCTGGCATTAAAACAAGACCACACAAGGAGAGAGACCTGGCACAATTACACCGCGGAGGACAGAAGCTTCTGCTGACAGATGGACAAGCTCCACCCACTTCCTCCCACGACCGGGCCAGGACAGGAACGGTCCCCATCAGACAGGAGGGAGGTGGGAGGCCACCAGCCTGGCGGGTGTCCGTCAGCTTGCGCTCTGATCCACCCCGGGCCCAGGAGTGCCCCACAAACTCGCTGTGCAGACAGAAATGCCCTAGCTGCACGGCTGACACAGGGCCACACGTCCCTACCAAGTCTTGGAAAGTAGTCCGTGCACCCGAGGGACTCAACGGTTTATTGGTTCCATGTAAGGGACCGAGTGGCTCCCACGCACTTGGACCGTTGGCTTGGGCACCACAGAGCTGTGGCCTGTCACGTCAGCACAGCTGGGGACCAGAGAGAAACTTGCAAACGGGCTGCGAGCAGAAGTGCTCCTGGTGCACACATCCGCACCTGCTCCCGACTGGCACCCGAGCTCCTGCTGGCATGAGCTGACCTTCTGTTCTATTTACTCATGAACCAATACTACTTTCCAAAAGACGTGTCCACGTATTTTAGAAAGAGTGTGCACGCATGGACACAAGAGGATGAGGTGGAGGGAGAGAGGGAGACTCTCAAGCAGACCCCGCACCAAGAAGGAGCCTGATGACGGGCTCGATCTCATGACCGTGAGATCACGACCTGAGGCGAAATCAAGAGTCAGACCTTTAACTGACTGAGTCACCGGGGTGCCCCTTAAATGCAGTTTCTACGATGTTCAAGTCCCCGGAGCTCAGCTAAGTTGTCCTGAAGCACCATGTCACTCAATACTGTCCTCAAGTCCCAACGAAGACTCGCTCAAGGACACGGCAACCCAGCCACTCCCCAGGACGGGGGCCAAGTATCTTATGTGACAAGTGACCCATCACGCAAGGTGACACCCAGGAAATACCTCAGGAAGCCCAGTCCAGCAACTGCGGCCTGTCCATCCACACCGGCTGCCCCCGTGTCACCGCTCCCAGACTATGCTCTCTGCATGTTAACAAACCCACACTCAAATGTCATGAATCCCGAAGAAACTTAGCAACACACACCAAAAAACACAATGTTTTCCACAACAGCAACACAAATGTGGATACATACAGATTCAGTCCTGCCCTCCAGTCAGGGGTTGTGTACACCGAGGGCAGCACTGACTCAAGGACTGGTCGGCCAGCCGGACTCCAACCCACAGGGACAGGACACAGCAGGCCTCGAGGCTCAGGTCCTTGGTCACTTGCGTTATCCCCAGACACAGACTAACCTTACTTATTTAAAGATTTTATTTATTTTTCAGACAGAGAGACAGTGCATAAGCAGAGGGAGAAGCAGAAGGAGAGGCAGGAAGCCCGACAAGGGGCTCATCCCAAGACCCCGAGATCATGACTGAGCCACAAGCAGACACTGACCTTGTTGATGAAGCTGGACTTGCCGACATTCGGGTACCCGCACAGGAGCAGCGTCCTCGTATTTGGGTCAATAGTGGGCAGACGGGACAGATGCTGGCGCACTGTGGGAGAGGCACATTACACGCGCTTAATTTCGTAAGAACCACGGAAGAAGTCAAACTTCGCGATCTGCTTCAGTCAGCTGTACTCCCGGGCCGTGGCTCGTTAAGCCCGTTCCAACAGTTACAATGCAGGTTGGCAGAAAACACACGAACAGAAAAGGATTCGCTGCAGACACACCACAGTACACTGAAGAGCTCCCCAAATCGGGCTGCATCCAGAATCCTACTGGACAGGTCCAAAATGGAGCCAGAAACAGGTCGACTTGCCCAGACCGCTCTGAGTGAAATGGTATCTTGCTTCAGAATCAGCGATTCTGAAGCAAGTGTGCGTGCACCACTTCCTGCCTAGGCCCTGGGCTGTTTCCACACAACAAGGCACAGTGAGGCCACTCCGCTCCCTCGGGGTCAGACACAACAGACCCCTGGAAGCACTGTCACGGCAGTCAAGTAGCACAACTCGTTACAAATTATTTGCAGATACCCGGGAAGGGAAACAATGACTTAAAAGCATCTGTAGCATAAAAATGTACATAAAAAGGCACCTAACTGTGTCATCACACATACTCCGCTAATCCAGTACCGTCTTCTAACTACTACGTAACAAACCCAGGCAGCCACTTCACGCTGACACATACCGCAAAGCTTTTCCGGACGACTTATTTATCTGAGGGCGCACACTTGCACACGCCGAGCTGGGGGCGGGCAGGGAAGAGAATCCCAAGCAGACCCCCCACTGAGCACGGAGCCCAAACAGGGACTTAATCCTGTGACCCTGAGATCACGACATGAGCTGAAATCAAAAGCTGGATGCGTAACTACCTGAACCACCCAGGCATCCCATGATGCAATTTTTGGTAAAAATTTATAGTATCAATAGGTCAAAACTATGGGTCATTTTATTTTTTACATATTTTCTTGGTATCTCCCTGAGATTTACAGCGTATGTGCCTTACACACGAAATATGAAAAACAAATTCTCTTAACAGTAGTAATTTGTAAGCATTTTAACTCCTAGCTACTCTTTCAATAATAACTAGCCTGCCAGAATTTCTGATAGGCTAGACGGGGAAAAGTCATTCGACCCTGTTAGGTCTAAAAGAAAACAAAACCAAATATTCCGAAAAGGAGTTCTTGACGAGAACCGGGCCGTGAAGCGCACACGCCCCGGCGCTCCCACTCCCGCAGCACGGGCACCTTGCTCCAGATACTCCAGACTCTGCTTCTGCCTCCGGACGACGGTGCACATGCGCCCCAGGGCCGCGCGTTTCAGCTGCTTGCAGCGGTACAGAGAGTCTCCGTACTTCATGAGCCGCACGTAATCTTTAGCCACACTTAAATAAAAACAAATATGTGAGATGCTTTTCACTTTGGGCAATAATTTGAAAGATACTGTATTAAGAAAATACCTTACTTGTCCACTAAATTTTTGGCAATATTTATTTGTCCCAGAGCCAACTTGTAATGATCCTTGTCATAGAGAATGTTCATCAAATCAGCATAAAATGGATGGATGTCCTAGAACAGAAACACAGCGAGCGGTTTTTTGGCACAGGTTTCTCACCCCAATGTCAGGACTACTTGCAGAAGTCCATCCCACCTTTCCTCTCTCCACAACCCCCCAGGATCTTCTCCCTGCCCCCTCTCCTGATGACTCTTTAGCTCTCTGAGAAAACATCTAAGCGAGCTCAGGGGTCACTGCTGCCTCTGCCTGCCCACTTGGCCTGGGCCCAAGACTGTGCCCCCTTCACCCTTATCCACAAACCCAGCCAATTCTCCATTTGTGCACCAGACTCCTCCCCTACTCCTCAAGACCTGAACCCAGGCCTGCAAACATGCTGTCATCGCCCCCCCAATCTGAAAGTCTGCAAGTCCCCTCGAGCCCACAAGCCTTCTTACTCCTTTGTTCCCCTCTTGGCAAACACCACGAAGAGAGGCTCTTTCCCTCCCTGAAACCCAGTCTGGTCAGAACTGTCTCCACCAGCCCACCCAGACAGCTCATCAGACCAGACCCGCCCCAAACTCCCTTCATCCCTGCAGAGCTCTGCACAGCACACAGCTGGCCACTCACACTTCTTGATGCTTTCTATCCAAAGGGCCTCCATCCCTGTGGCCTCGTGCTCCTACCCAACACCCAACATCAGAGTTCCTGGGAGCACTTTTCTCTCCTCACTCACATCCTGGGTGACCTCATGTGGATCTAAGTGCAGGGACATCTCCAGGCTAGACCTCACATAAAGCTCCAGACCACATGCCCTCCTGTGTGATGTCTCACCCACACTTCGATCAATGCATACAAACCATCCTCCTCCTCCTCAAACCCTCCACGTTCCCGCGTGCATGGACGGCGCCAGCACTGTCACCTGCGCTGTGAGCAAACCCGCTAGTTCTTCCTCCCAAGCACCCAACTCTTCAGCTCCGCCAGCCGCTTAACGCGGTGCACCAACCTTCCCCGCGGTCTCCTACCCCACAGGGCCACTCATCCTCTACAAGGTAAGTCGAAGCTCGGCCCGTCCCAGGGTCAGCCTGGAAAGCTTAAGACAGAACACAAGCACCAGCTGGCTGGTGGACACATCTGCTCTGACCCATCTGCACCCTCCCCCTCTCCACACCCGGCCCCAGCACCTGGTCTTCCTACTCCTGGAAGACCTCATGCTGTGTCCCTCCGGGCCTCTGCACTTGCTGCTCCTATGGCCTCAGTGTTGTTCGTGAGCGGCTGCACGGCTCACCACCTCGCTGCCCTCAGGCCTTGCTACAATCTCCGGGCTCTCCTCGCTCATCTGCCACGCCGTGGATCGCCACCACGTTTACCACCTTTCCCCTCACCAGACAAGCACAGGGCCTCGATGCCTGCTGTGCTGCCGGGGCCTGAGCAGATCCCCAGAGACGCAGCTGCTCTCACCTCCTACTCCAAAATTCTTCTCAGATAGCTCACTCTAGTTCAAAAAGCACGGGGGGCAGCTGGGTGGCTCAGTTAAGCATCTGACTCTTGACTTCAGCGCAGCTCATGACCTCAGGGTGGTGAGACCGAGTGTCACGTCCACACTGAGTGTGGAGCCTGCTTCAGATTCTCTCTCTCCCTCTTTTCCTCCCCAACCCCTCGGGGAACAAAAAGGTAATAGAATGTTCACAAATTTAAACTTCTATTGTATAAAAAAATACCAAGAAGAAAAAAGATAAAAGTTCTTACAAAGAACTACAGAAATCGGGTACTAATTAGTTCACAGCATTTTGTTTGCTCAGATCAAGTGTTTCTGAGTATCACACCAGTTTTCAAAAACCTCACTCTTCTGTCTCCCACCAGGGAAGTTCTAGGGTACCCACCCTCGCCCCAGAAACTATTCACACGTTCAGTGGCCCGTATGGAGCACCTCAGCACGCTTGGGAGACGCACGGGAGTGCGCGCCTTCTGCTGGCAGAAACCTCTACTCTTACTTTAGGCACATCTGTAATTGTTCAAACGAACCATCACCACCTCAAATACAGAAGAAACTCCTGTCACATAAACCAACTTCCCCTCGGCCTTAAGTGAGCTTCACAGACTCTTTTGGGACAGTGGCAAACTTAGGCTCTCACCCTGTACTGCTGACCCCACCCCATGTCCTTTACCACCTCAAATCACCTTGCAGCTGTGTGACCCTACACAGTGACTTCGTAAGCAGCGTCGGCTCCTGCTTTCCGAGCTTCACCAATAAGCAAACTCGACTATGCTGTGGAGCGAAGGTTTCAACTGTTTTCGCTCAAGGCACAAATCCCTGCTCCCCACACAACTTTCTCTCAGCAGTCGCAAAGAGGCCAGTGCTGACCTGGCCATCCCTGGCCAACAAAGCGACAGGATCACAAACAGTGGTGGACCTCGGGCGACTGATGTGACCTGAGGCCACAGGAAAGGGAGCCTTGGAAGGAGGAAGGACAGGAAGCCCACCCAAGCCAGGGAGCGGCCAGATTCCCAGCGACAGCACTGAGAGCTTGGGCTGCCACCTGCCAGCCTCGGGGTGACAGAGGAAGCCTGAGGACACAGCTTTGGGCCTCTTACGTGGGTGTGACGGGGAAAGAAGAATACTAAGGAGTCAAACTCCTGTGGTCTGTTCCCAGCTGTGCCACTAACTCACAAAGTCTGACAAACGAATCATTTGTTTCCTCCCCTATTTGTCAGAGACATACACGAAGCGGCTGTCGACACCAGTTACGGGCTGGCTCCCGTTACATCACCATCTGCGTCCCCAAGTCACTTACATCCAATTTGGGGAAATCTGTTAGAATCTGGGAGAGTCTGTCATGGTAATTCTGCTGAGTAAATTTGACCTTCCGCATGTAAAAATGTCTAATACGATGAATCTGGTAATGTTTATGGATAACCGTTGGAGTCTTCCGTTGAGTCTTCGATAACGTCAGGTCAATAAAGTCCTGCAATTACACGAAGTAAGACACAGTACACAGAAACACCCACCTTTTATCTGCTTATCTGAAATCCTCTCAAAAGACTAAAAACAATGGTACCACATGTTTCTAAATACACTTTTTCTAACGGATCTTTAATCTTTTATACTCAACTTCGATCACGTTCATAGTTTCTGGCCTTTAAAAAGCCCTTAGCAGATGGCCGCCAAAATAAATTCGTTCCCACACGTTCTTGATGTTACCCTGATAGCCAAACACCCAGGGCCCTCTCCAACTTTAGTAACTCAGGCATAAATCAGAAAAAACATTCAAAAGAAAAAAGTCCTGCAATTTCAACTCGCAAATCTTTGACTTTCATAAAACAACAAGTAAAACCAAAATCTACTGTCTGTAATTTCCCAAGATACGAGAAGTCACCCAGACATAAACAACTCTTGGTTGAACTGCCCCGAGCAGAGACAAGCAAACGGGTGCCCACAACACCTGTCGGCGACGGGGAGGACCCAGACCTCAAGCCTGGAGACCTGTACCCTTCCCGCCCCAATCCAGGGGCTCGTCCAGAAGTCAGCTACTTCGCGAAGTTTTCCCGACTGTCCTCCTCCCTCTCTGGGTAGGATCCCAAGGGCTGCGGAAGGTCTCTAATTCTGGAGGGGAGGACCCCGATCTCTGGGGAAGGGACCCCAAAGAAGGGGGGACCCTACCCTCTGGGGAAGGGACCCCAACGCCGAAGCAAGCCCCCGGTGTCCGGGACAACCGCTAACCCCGGAAGGCTCTAACCGGCCGAGGACGTGGGCTGACCCGCCGGAGGAGGCGACCTCTGTCCCCGCCCGAAGTACAGGCTCGGGCTTTCCTGGCGACCCGGAAGGGGAGAGGCGAGAGCGGACAGGCCCTCGCGGTCGCCTACCTTGGCAGACGGCACCACCGTGATCTTCTTGAAGTTGTAGTGCGCCATGCCTGCAACCTACCACGAGGGAGCGCGGACAGGGGCCCGGAACTTCCGGCGGGACTTCCGGCGGGGCGGGCGGGACTTCCGCCGACGGGCGTCACTTCCGGATGCCCCCGCTGCGTCCCCAGGCTCCGCTTCCGAGTAGCACGGCGCCCCCTCCCGGCGGCAGGTCCCCGCGGGGGAAGTTGCTGGGATCCGCGGGGCAGGCGTGGGGGAGAGAGGGGCAGGTCCCGGCGGGCGGACCCGGCTCGGGGGCGCGGGGGGGCTCGGGGTCCTGGGGTCCTCGGGGGCCTCGGGGAGTGTCTCAGGGGCCCGGGGCGGGGGCACCAGTTCCCGCCGACGCCGGACTCGGGAACGCGACGAGGCCGAACGTGCGGGTAACGCGGCGGGACGGGGGGGCCCAAGCTCCGCCCCTCCCGCTCCCAGCCGGCGAGGCCGGTCCGGGCCCGCGTCCCCAGACCCGTAGAGACGTAGCGCCCGCCGCGAGCCCCGAAGGCGTCCGAGTCCTGCCGGCCGGGCTCCCGCGCCCGCCCGTCCCTGCGCGGTAGGACCGTGGCCGGTCATCACTCCCCTCTCCCGCCGCGTCCCTGCCGCCTCGGACCCCGCCCCCTGCCCGCGCGCTTCCACCCCCGCCCCGCTCCCGGGAGTCCCTCCGGAGCCGCCGGGCTCGGGGCCCCGCTCGGATCTCTCCGACGGCGCGGACGCTCCCGTCTCCGCTGCAGACCGGCGCTCGCCGTCGGCTGGGAGTTGCCCCCGGCGCCCCCGGTGCCTGCGGACGGACTCAGCGTGTCCTGGGTCGGACACTCGCGCGGTCGTCCCCGGGGGCAGATGCTCCTCCCTGCGGAGCCCCGAAGGGCCCCTGCGCCCTGGCTGACACAGTAGTGTGAGTGTGAGACGGCGCCGCGGGCCGCCGTGAGGTCAGACCCGGGGCACGGTTCGGAGACTCGGAAGTCCCAGCAGCACAGGGACGCGGCCTCGTCCGAGGCGGAGGGCTGCGCGCTGCGTCGGAGCGTCCAGTGGCCGGTGGTGTCCCACCGAGGGGCGGGGTGGTGGGGACGGAGCACCGGGCGCTCGGCGCGGATGCCCCCAGGTGACGCAGCTCCGCGCATCGGGCAAGTCTGCGTAGGTGCGACCCTGTGCCGAGCCCCGTCTAAGCCCCGGACGGGTGTTAGCTCGCTCAGCTCCTGCAAGCCCCAGCGGAGCGTGGGGAGACCAAGGCACGGCAAGGCTCTCACCGCCCGCGGTCACACGGCCCGTCCGGGACGACTTGGGTCTGAACCTAGATGGCCTGGCCCGGCGTCGCCGTTCTGGACCCGTGGCCATTCTGCTTCTCTGCCTTCTCGGGTCCTTTGAGCAGGTCCTGTCAATTTTTAAACGGCTTGCTAATGTTAACTGTCGAAAGCAGTTGTGACTCACGAGTCTGTCACGAGCTGTAAGGACCTTTGTGCCGTCAGCAAGCTACACGAGCCCCCTTTCGTGTGGTGGCTCTGAGACAGGGAGCCCCGGGGTCATCGGGGGCCTCCAGCTGCAGGCACCTGCCAAACCACAGGACAGCTCTGGGAAGCTTTGCTTGGACTCTGCCTCTCCCCGGGCGTGTCCTCAGCCTCTCCATTGCCCTCTCTCACAGTGGCTGCCCCCTCCTCTTTACAAACCAGGTATTTCAGTAAGTCCATCCTTTGCTTCGGGCAGACGACTGTCCTTTCTTTAGCTCTTCACTCGAGGCGATAACAAAGCAATTCTTGCATTTGGGCAGGTTGCTAACATTTGCCAAGTGCTTTTCTCCTTAGTCTCGATGATACTCCCAACGCTTCATGGTGTGGTGCTAACGTGAGATCGCGGGCTGGCTTCTCCCCAGTCACATGGCTATGAGGGGCGAAGGGGACGGGATCCCAGTGCCCGGTAAACACAGTCCTTATATGCAGACACTCCGTGGAGGGCACAGAATTCTTTATGATGGGGATAGTGTTACCAAATGTCAGTGTATGCGATGTTGTTGATTGTGCACAGAACGGCTGAAGTCTGCTTGTTCCTATGGAGGAAAGGAACCATTCGCTGAAAGAAAAAACAGACTCTGGACAAAGAGCAGGTACATTAACATTCGTGTCAGAGAAGAAACGAGAGAACTTTATAAATCCCATCAGTGAAGAACTGACAGGTCTTTGCTTTTACCGTTCCCTCCTGAGTTTGGAATCCTATTTACCTAAAACAAAGGGCACTCGTGATGGTGGAGAGTCCGTGGCCCCTGTCCACATCCTGGGTCTGCCCCCTGAGAGCTACGTGCACTCTGGCAGGAAACCCGACAGTTCTTAGCCCTGGCCCCTCTTCGTCAAGTGGCAAAACGATGCCACCTCTGAAGGATCGTTTGTGGTAACTGACGAAGATGTGTGCAAAAGCACAAGGCATAAGAGGAGTTAATATGATGATCGTTAATTTTTATATGAAAACTTCTTTGGGTCAGCACAAGGTAATGACCTGAGCATTGCCGTAAAGGATAGTAAATGCCAGGTTTCTTATCAGAGAGTCTCTGCTGCCACATGTGGTAATGAAATCATCCCTCAGAGAGTGGGGTCATGCAGAATCTGAGTTATTTGCTGCTCACAAGGGACGGGGACTACCCCACAAACGGAAGAGACCCATCAACCAGCCTCTGCTCTAAAGCGTCTGTGGGTGTGACATGGGAGAGGGGCCATGGGACCACCAGGCCACGCGCCAGCAGCTGTCCAGCTGCCCGGCGGGTCTGTGTGCCCGAGCATCGCGGGCCTAGAGCCGCACTGCTGTGCAGAAGTCCCTCGCATCCCACACCACCTGTGTGTTGAGAATCTAAGTCCTACCCTTCCCACCTGCACTTTGCCTGGCTGAGCATGGCTTCCTGGGGCACAGGCGTGTGTCCCAGGCCACTAAGAGCAAGCCACTCGTCCGTGGAGAGGCTGCTGGTCTCTGGGGGCCTCTCCTCACTGCCACCCTCAGTGAGGGCAGCTCACCAATTCCTGAGCTGATTCCGACCGGGTCTGGAGATGTCTGGTTACCGGGGCTCCTCAGAGGGCGAGCCTTGGGGCGGCCGTAAACCTTGGCTGTGGGGGACAACCCTCGAGGGTGCCCTGTGGGGCTTCCTGGTGACTTCAGCCAGCCTTGTTCTCCAAGCTCTGTTTTGTGGACGGGTCTCCTCTCTTGCATTTTCCTGTTGCTGTAATTCTGACACGGGCAGGACATCTCATAGCAGCATCTGGGCCAGGGAAGTGTGACCAGGCTTCTTGCCTGAAAGGAGACTTTGTGTGGGGCTTAGTCACTTGGCCATTGGTGGCTGTCTGGCACCAAAGCGTTAGGACCCCTCCAGAGCGTCTGTGGTCATGTCCCTGGGTCCCCAGAAGCTATTCTGGCCCATGCGTCTGGCATGGACCTGTGCTGCTTTGGGCTGTTGCCTAGATGTCCCCTGGATCCACCTAATTTCCTAAAGAGACAGCCCCTTGGAGAGCAGGGAGTGTGTCTCGGCCTCCCGCCATTCCTTGCAGTACCAGCAGTGCCCCGAGCTTTCCAAAATGGTTGGAATGGGCAGAGGGAAGGCTGCAGTGGGGGCCGTGACATGGGGAATCTGGCCTTGTGCTGCTTCTGTTGTCCCACTGAGCCATACCGCAGGCGAGGGAGCACGGGACCTCACGTGTGAACAGCCAGGGTGGGTGCCTCAGCCAGAGCGACAAGGGACACGAAGGTTTTGTGTTCTGAGGCTGCAGGCCCGGATCCCGAGTAGCCTGCAGCCATCCAGCCAGCTGCGGACCAGCTCGCTCCACGTTGACGTGCCGACGAGCTGCGCGGCCCCCAGAGCGGGCAGGAGGGTGCTTCCTTTCGTCACAGGTATGTACGCGCCACAAGCAAGCTCTGCCCATCAGCATGGCTCCCATGCTTGGGCCCTGGTTTCTCCACCACAGCCTGACCCGCGGCCGTGCATCCCACAGCCTTTCAGACCTCAGGGTCCCAACCCACGGTCTCCTGGCATGAACCAGTGGTGCCTCCACTGCTGGCCCAGGGGACGTGAGCTGAGTCCGCACAGGAGGGCTGTATGTGTGTGTCTTTCAGTCGTTGGTGGGACTGGTTATGAGAGAAGTCGCTGAAGGATGAAGAGGTGAAAGGTTTACCTGTCATGGTTTACCTCTAACGTGACACTGACACCTCGAGGGGAATTTTACTCTAATGACGTTACTTGGTGCCCCAGTCCACTGGGACCCTGTCACAAATGACCACACGCAGGGAGGCTTCTAAAGGACAGATGTTCACTTCCAGCATTCCGGAGGCTAGAGGTCAGGATCAGGCGCTGGCACGCTTGCATTCTGGCGAGGACCTTCTTCGTGGTTCCTAGGAGTCCCCTTCTTGCCATGGGCCTTCCTTGCCGTGGGAGGGGCATGGGAGCTCCCTGGGGATGAGGACACGGTCCCGTCACATGGGTTCTACCTCCTCATACCATCATTTTGGAGATTGGGTCTTCAACACTTGGATTCCGGGGGACACATTCATCGGTAGCTAGCAAGTGGGGTGTGTTACTGTAACGGCGACGTCCGCACGGGGTCTGCCGCTCAGGTCTGTGAGTCCTGCTGGATCTGAAGTGCAGCGGCAGGACGGATGTCGTCTTAGCTTGGCCGGGGTGTGAATCCTTTGGGGCCGCGCCCTCATCCCACGCAGGGCGGTGACAGCATTCGAACCCCCTCCACAGGGGCCGTGTAACACGCTCTTCAGAGCTGCATGGTGGGCTAAGACCGGGGACTGTGTTTCTGAGGCCTGTCCCCACCCCACATGATCTTGCCTGAGGCGCTCAACTCCGCTAAGCTTCAGGTTCTTTGCTTACAAACTGGGGGCAGGAATCATGCCTGCGGAGAGGGCTGCTGTGAGGCTCGGCTGGTACGCGTGAGGCATCTTGTTGGAGTGCTTGGTGCACGGTAGCTACGCAGGAAAACCATGTCAGTGTTACCTGTGTGCTGTTGGTGCTTGCGTAGGATAATAGTCTGAGTTTTTATTTGAGCAAATTCCTATTTGGCCTTACGTAACAATAGCCACACAGGGTGCCTCTACGATTTGCCGGGTGACTGTTACTTCTTACCAGAGCACCGTGAGGTGGACGTGATCGTCTCGTTTTGCAGATAAGAATGTTAATTTTGGAGAGGTCAACCGGTCTGTTTCCTGGCACCAGCTGCTGAGTGGCACAGCTGGAAATGGACTCCAAAGCCACTTTGCTCGCTGCGCTGCATTTGAGGAGTAACTTTGCTCCTGACCTCGTTGGGACGACTACTTTATTTGGTATTCCGTGGAGATGGATGAGCGACGGCACTGCAGGTCACGTGCTGCGAACGACCCCACGACACTGGTGTTGACTCAAGCACGGGCCGTGTGCACGGGTGGGGTGTCTTCTGGGAACGAGGGGCAGGCAGGGCCGTGCTGCCTGTGCTGGAGAAGAAACACCCTTGTTCCTGCTGGCCGCCATCAAGAGGGATGTTTCCGTGCTTTAACTAAGGGATGGTACGTGCCTCATTCTGTTACAGGAACTCACCGTTGAAACTGTCTCCGTTTTACAGTTTCCTAAAGGACCTTCAGTTTTGACGAAATCTTATACCTCTTTTCTAAAAGAAAATAAAAGGTGATAACCAAAGGTTTGTAATCTGTGCACTTTGGCTTGCATGACTAATTTCCAAGTGATTCTAAATCAGGTGCAGGCAGAATTTCTTAAGTTGGACATTCTGGGACGCCTAGGGGGCTCAGTCGGTGATGTGTCTGCCTTTAGCTCAGGTCATGATCTCAGGTCCCAGGATCAAGCCCCGCATCGGGCTTCCTGTTCAGTGGGGAACCTGCTTCTCCCTCTGCCTCTGCCCCCCACCAGCTGTTCTCTGTCTCTCTCTCAAATAAACGAAATGTTTAAAAAAAATATGGACATTCTGTGTGACACCCAGAAAGACCAAGATGAGCACCGACACGTTCCTGTCGCAACACCTGAGTTCTTGGTGCTCAGGGCCAGACGGTCGACCACCCCTCCAAGTAAAACCAGCAAGAGTACCCAGTTTGATGATAAAATGTCGTCACAAGCTCAGTTACTGACTGAAGTTCTGCGTGACGAAAGCGTATCCTAGTC